CTCTCTGATTACGAAATTGGTCGACTGGTAACACTTTTGCAGGAAGGTTGCAGCCAACGACAGGTTGCTAATGTTCTTGGTGTAAACCAGTCAGTTGTGAGCCGTGTCTATGCTCGATTTAGAGAGACTGGGGAGTATGTCCGTAGATTGGGGCAAGGACGCAGACGCGCGACAAGTACTCGAGACGACAGAGTAATTACGCGACGTGCTCTTCGGGAGCCTTTTGTTATCGCACGCACTATTGCGGAACAAATTTCGAACCGCAGGCAAAACCCGCCACGCACGATCTCTAACAACACCGTGAGGCGTCGATTGAGGGAGGCTGGCTTACGTTCGAGGCGCCCGGTACGAGTCCCGTTGCTAACTGCTAGACATCGATGGCAGCGTTTAGCTTATGCTCGTCGTTACATACGCTGGTCTCAGCGTCAATGGACAAATGTTCTTTTTACAGACGAGTCCCGATTCTGCCTACGAGGGAGCGACCGACGGGAACATGTTTGGCGTCGTTGTGGCGAACGTTACGATGCCAATCATACAAGGCCGATCACCGCGTTCCATGGGGCCGGAGTATCGCGGTATTCACGTACACCGCTAGTTATTCTTTCACGTGGTGGTTTGACCGCCATGCGGTACGTGGACGAGATTTTGCGCCCCGTTGTGCTCCCTCTGCGTCAGCGTATGGGCAACCGCTTTCTGCTTATGCAGGACAATGCAAGGCCCCATGTTGCACGCTATACGCAACAATTTCTTCAAGAAAATCGAATACCAGTTCTTGACCATCCACCAGTGAGCCCAGATTTAAATCCCATTGAACATGTTTGGGATATTCTTGGGCGTCGGTTGCGACAGCAATACCCAGACTTGGCGAATTTAGGGCAATTAGCGCACGCCCTCCACCAAATTTGGCGAAGAATACCACAGTCAATCATACGGAGGTGCATTAATATGCGCAAACGATAAAAAGAAGTAATCAACCGGAGAGACGGTAATACCCATTATTAAACACAACATACGCATACATGCATGCACGCACGCACGCATCGGAGAGTGAGTTTGGAGTCAAAAAATACTGTGGGAGTGACGAACCACAGGGTCTCTCATCTCTCCATGCTTGTACATACGCAGTGAAGCGTAAATCCGACAGTGAAACCTCCTCGTGGTACGCCTTGGGTAATGCTAATGCCGGCAGTATTGTGCACCTTTTGTCATTGCGAAGAGATTGTATAAAAATGTGTTTGCTAAATTTCTGACATTACTACTTTCTTCTAAAATAAAGTGAAACTAAGAAGACACAGACCACAACAGTTCAAACGCTGCGAACAAAAATTTCAACATATTGGCAACTAAAGGTCTTTAAAGAGAAATCTCTCAGCTTTCCCAATACCACTTCTGGAATTTTCTATACGATCATGCGTTCGCAAGTTACAAGCGCTCAAAGTGGAAAGTACCTTTTCTCGTATGATGACGAATAACTCAGCCAATAAAAACTGTACAACAAGATTAAAAAAACGATATTAAAGAGAAAAGTTTGCTTTTTAAAAGTATTCCATTGGAATTACCAGAAAAAATTTCATTTGGCCCATGCATCCTCTCAGACTTGACCAAAATTTTTTAACATTCGCTTACTGCCCTTCATCTTTAAAAAAAAAAAAGAACAAACTACATAAAAATAATTTTTGATTTCCCGATTCAAAAACTAGAAACTTCGGGCTACAAAATGCTCTGTCACAATATTTTTTATAGCTATTTTTCGCGAAGATATAGGCATCTTGTCAAACAGAATGACAACTTCTGCTTCCGGATTCAAGCTTTCGCGCGATAACGCAGCAGCCGAACGCTTCCGGGTTGTTTTTTTGGCTTTTCGGGCAGACGAGTGAAAGGGGGTCGAGTGTTTTGGTGTCTGGCGGAACATGTGCGTGCCGTGTGATTGTATTCATATAATATGTCCTACATTTAGTTAAATAAACTATTTTTTCATTCACTAAGAACCACGCTCTGCAACCTAATTTTGACACATCTGAAGATGACCAATATTTTCGGCAAATTTTAGTGATGCTTTAATTTTGGCGCCCAGTGTAGTTCTCTTGCAAAATTTGATATCATACATTTCTTAGTCAGTTGTATCCAATATACCTATTTAAATGGGACAATATTTGTGAACGGTAGTTCCATTGTATACCTCCTTGATACCATAAAACTTTTGTTTAACACAGTTTTTCATATAACCAACAGTTTACAAGTAATTTAACTGGCAGCATCAAGTGAATCAACGCTTCAATTAATAAACATAACGTATAGAATTTGAAGATTGAATTGTGATAATATTCAGGGATGGTTACAAGTAAAGCTACTCCAGGACATCAAATTATGGACGAAAATAATATTCTGTCATCTGTTTTTGTTGAGGAAAATATTGTTACGGATTAAGAAACAACAGGATCACAAAAATAATACTACTTTTATTGTGATGCAATCTTCTATATAATAGACATCCACCTTTCAAACTTGTTTTATTTCTGACCGTTATATGGTTCATATAATGTAACTTTGGTTATTCTGGGCCAACTTTCCGAAAAATTGTTTATCCCAACAAATATGTCTCTGTTGATACGCATAATCGGCATTGCAGTGTATAGTCCATAAAAATATACAACTCTCTGCTACAGACGAATCTCTCGGCATTATGTGGTATAGGAAGCATTTTCTGCATAAAAAAAATTATGATAATAGTAGAGATAATAAAAATTATACCGTTTTTGTACAATATGCAGTTTATTATAACGAAGGGAACTGATAAGGAAGAAAAATATAAAAATAGTAAAAATTACATAATGTTAAACATTAGCGATTTCGTAGTCTAACCAATGGACGAAAACCGTTATCGTAAAGAATTACAGGGAAGGAGATTCAAGTCGTTGTCTCGATTATCATCGATTTTACTAGAAATTTGTTCAGAAAAAGAATGTTTCCAAACTCAATTTATTATAATATTTATTACATGCATGTTTGACAGAGGCACCGATACGGGGGAAATTGTATAGTTTCAACCCTCTTCCGAGAAGACCTATTAAAGCCAATTGACACTATTCGTCTAGCCGCTGTCAAAACTTTCTCCAATGCATTTTAAATGGTGTCATTCACACTTGCCACCTGCTGACCGCTAGCCAGTTGTAGAGAAAATCTGTTCACACTATCCGTCTAGTCGGCGGCAGGCTAGCCGCAGTCAGGTCAGGACCCATGAATATGGAAATCGTACTTTTATTATACTTGTAACTAAATTTAATTTTAAG